ATTTATTCGTGTTGGATATCGGAGGGATCCCTTTACCTCCAGTTCAATCGTCATTTTTTTTACTGTAAATATCAGTTTTTTTTTCTTCAATAGCAACTCTTTCTGTCACTGCAATCGTGACTCCTATCTCGATATATTCGTTTGTATTCTTCAGAAAAAAAGTTGGCAATGAATGATTTTTTATATTAAGAAATAGATATGATGATAAGTTGAAAAAAGCATCGATGCCTGTGACATCAGCATTGAAGTGGTGAAACCTAACAGAACAATTCGATTTTTCACACCTCGTTGAATATGCGATTGCTTCGGTAACCAATGGCTCTACGAGGAAAAGTCAAAAGACATTTTTTGTCGGAGACTTCCCGATCCACAGAAAAGGGCTTTCGACATTTTCTCTTAAAACCACTCGTTCTCGAGATAAAGGCACAGTTACCCAAAATATAGGAATCGACTTGTTAAGTTTCACCACTTCTCTACTGATATTTCAATTGAGGTGTAAAACGCCTTTGCAACAATCATCACTATTTATATCAGTCATTCGTCTGCTTTTCGTTCCATCCCTAGTATTCACCAGTACTTCGCAATACTATTCATCAATCAACGTTAATACTGAATGATTTTAAATACTCTATAGTGAGAAGACAACAATTTCATAATGATTTATGTGAATCCAAAATTCCCACTATCTCCACTTTTTCCAGACATTCGTCGCAGCAATGGTTCGCTCCGCCAAGAACTTCCCCATCAGCGAGCCCCAGTATCACGAAATTCGCAACGACAGATCTGAATCCTACACCGAGTGTCTCGAGAAGATCATGAGCAAAATAAATCCCCAGCTCGTCATGTGCATTCTCACGAAGAATCGCGCTGACACTTATTCAGCGATTAAGAAGAAGCTCTGCATTGATCGACCAGTGCCGAGCCAAGTGGTGACTGCTCGTTGCTTGAATGCCAAAGGAATAATGTCCATTGCAACGAAAGTTGCCATCCAGATGAACTGCAAAATTGGAGGCATACCCTGGACTATTCACGTTCCCGTCAGTGGTCTCATGGTGGTTGGATACGACGTGTGTCATGATACCAACAAGCGAGGAACAGACTTCGGTGAATATAACAGAAATGTTACTGACACGCACGATAAAAAATTTAATAGAAAAACTTAAACTGAATTCGATTTTTCTATAGAATTTATTCTATTGAGATATTTTTTGCAGAATTTATTCAGCTCAATTTTTTGAAGTTTTTAAAAATTGAAAAAAATTTTTTTCATTATATTTTTGCTTTTTGTTTATCGAGATAATCAAAGAAAAAATTTGGGAAAAAGTGAGTTGAGGAAATTCTATAGAAAATATAATAGAATAAGTTGTATAGAAAAAGCACATTCTATTTACGTCTATAGATTTTCTACTAAACATTCCTATATAATCGTTCAGAATTCTTCTATTGAGATATTTTTTGCAGAATTTACTCAGCTCAATTTTTTGAAGTGTTTAAAAATTTAAAAAAAAATTTCATAATATTTTTTTAAAATTAAAATAACCAAAGAAAAAATTTGGAAAAAGAGAGCCGAGGAAATTCTATAGAAATTATCTCCGTAGAATAAGTTATATGGGAAAATCTAATTCTATTGACTTTTTCAATAGAATTTTTCTACACAATTGCCTGAGCTCAGATTTTTCAATTCTTTTCATTTGATTTTTATTTCTTTTCAACCAGAAAATCAAACAAAAAAATTGGGAAAAATTGAGTTGAGGAAATTCCATAGAAGATTTTCTACTAAACATTTCTCTATAATCGTTCAGAAACTGATAGAAATTTCAATAGAAATTCAATAGAATTGTCTAATTCGCTACATTTTTCAATAAAATTATTCATCCGTGGAATTCCGCTCAATTTTCAAATTAAAAAATGACAAAACAGTATTTTCTCGATCATTCCATTAAAATAAAAAAATCAACAGAGCCAAAATGCTTGTGATTTTCCATCTCATTCTTAAAAAATCAATGACTTTCGTCCGTGAAATATTTTCTAATGAACATTTCCACTCCAATAAATAGTTCCCCAGCCAATCCCCTAGATTTCTCTAAAAACTAAATTATAATATCAACCAACAAAAAAATGTAGTAATATTAACCAATTTACTTGACATCCCAGGAGCAATGGTGGCCTCCCTGGACAAGAAGCTGAGTCGTTACTTCTCGACAGTCTCAGCGCACACGTCTGGCGAGGAGCTCTCCAATCACCTCTCAGCGAACATGGTGAAGGCCCTCAAGAAGTACGAGGAGGTGAACAAAGCCCTGCCCTCGAGGATAGTCGTATACAGGGACGGTGTTGGCGAGGGACAGATACCATTCGTGGTGGACCACGAGGTGATGAACGTGAAGAGAGCCATTGAGAAGGTGTACAACACCCCGGTTCAACTCGGCTATATTCTCGTCAACAATGGCACGAACACGAGATTCTTCAAGGGCACAAAAAACCCAGTGCCTGGCACAGTTGTCGATGATGTCATCACCAATCCCATGAAGTACGACTTCTTCCTGGTGTCTCAGGGGGTCAAACAAGGCACCGTGGCACCAACGTCGTACAGTGTCATCTATGACAGTCTGTCCCTCGATCCGGACAAGATACAGATTCTGACGTACAAGATGACACACATCTATTACAACTGCAGCACTACCATGAGGGCACCAGCACCGGTGCAATTCGCCCACAAACTCGCTTTCCTGGTGTCGCAGTCCATCCACACTGCTCCAACCAATCAGCATCTGGAGAGTCTTCTCTACTTCCTGTAGGAGGTACTCGACTCTATAGTTTCCTTTTTACTACTTGCGTCAGGAATTTTATTAGGGAATCAATGGGAGTAGATTATGGGGTGAGGACAGTAATTCAGTGTAATTTAAATCATAAATTAGCTATTTTATTTTGGAGGAAATCATGTTGAGATAAATTTTTTTTCTTCCGGAGAAAAAACAATCAGTGCGTTGATGTCTAAGTGGGACTTGATGACATGAATCACCACTTTTCTTTTTAAGAAATGGGAAAACTTGATGAAAATTCCTCATTCTTACCATTATTTATTATTAATTAAATAATTATTGTGAAATTGAGGGATCAGAGGGGAGAAGTGGAAAAGATTTATTTTTAATTATGGCTTTTTAATTTATAATTATTGTGAAATTGAGAAATCAGAGGGAAAAATGGAAATAATTCAACAATTTCCTCCTTCGAATATGAGCAAATTCCATAGAAATTCATCAATTTCACCAAAACATTTCAACCGAAGGAATTATTTTATCGTGGACTGTTAAAAATGTCTAAATTATCACTGAAATTTATTAATTTCTCAGTTATGTTTCCACCGTTGAGGGCTGGACCCAAAGTTACAATTTGTATTTTAAATTAATAAAAACGAATCTAAATTTCAAGATGCGCCCACCTTTTTTATTTATTGATTACGATTTGCCCTGATTTTTTTTATTTTACTCCCGTTAGAAATTACTTCCACTAGAAATTAATTAATTCAACAAATACATTTGAACTAAAGCAAATAATAATTTATCGTCGACTGCTTAAAACTCTCTAAATCATTAATAAATCCTGTTAATTTTGCAGTTGTATTTCCACTTTAAATTAATTAAAAAAAATTAAAATAAATCTAGCTTAAGAAACTAGAATGAATCTAAATGTCAAGATGTGCACAACTTTTTTATTTATTGATTTACGATTTCTTCTGAATTTTGTTAATACATCGGACAGCGTTGTGGATCGGTCAGTAATAGGATGAATAACAAAAGCATAATTTCCTCTTGACAATACAGTTTCTTATTCAGCAAGATATTTAATTGAATCGAGGCATATTGAATGAATGAACTAATAGATAAATCGAATGTGTGACAAAATAATTACACTCATGTTTTATTCCTCATCTAGAAGCGACTGGGCAGGATGTACTGAATATTCTCGACCGCAACTCCCATTTTTCAAATAAAAAAGTATAATTTAGTAGTAAAATTATAGCATCGATCAACTGAAATTCAGAATAATTTTTCTTTCGTAGATATCTTCCCCCAAATTTTAATTTCATTGAATAATTAGTTGTGATTCTCTCCAGGGTAAAGTAACATGGAACCATCGACCTCTCCAAATTTCAGAAATTAATAATTCACAGTATATTTTATTTCCTCTAGAAGTTATTAATGTCGTTCATTCATATATAAAACGAAGAAAACGAAAGAAAAACGAATTTGTACTTTTTCGCACAGATTAGACGATAATCTGACGTATGGTTTCCTCGATAGACACAGCAACATCCTATGCACACGAATTTCTACCCCGATAAAGTCGTTAGAATGTAACATTGTCATTTCTAAAAACGTGTGACGCCACATACTTATTTTAATCCAGGTTGTTCATTTCATTTCGTTCTTGCTAATTTCAACTATCTAACTTTTTCGCTATTATTAAGTATAAACAATGCCCCAGGGACCCCTGACAAGATCATTGCAGTGATAGAGGGTTCAGAAGCATGAGGAAAATCAATTGAAAATTCTAGTGCTTCTTTAAAAATTCTCTTGGACAATTCCATTTGTTTGCAATAAAAATATTCAATGAATGGAAAAAATTCTGTTTAAGTTGATTAAAAAAAATTAGAGAATAGGATTTTCATAGAATAACTTCAACGGAAAAAAAATTCTGTTGACTTGAAGAGATTTTTCATAATTTTTTTCCATCGAATATTTCATGTGGGACTTTCTTATGGGAGACATCAGCAAAAATTAATGAATTGCCAATGGAATTTCAACAAAAGCCCCAGGATTTTTTATTGAATTCTTTCATACATGCAGTCCCCTGAAAAAAAAGAGAACTGACAACAGTCACGTTCCCCTGTTACCGTATTATTCATCATAACGACTCCAATATTCATTTGTTAGCTCGAGTACAATCAATGTCGAGCTAAATCACGTCCTCGACATTCA